AAAGCTCTCCCTAACGACGACCCTCGTTAATTCGACACAACAGTTTGTCTGGAAGACTGCAATTATCTCGTAAACAAATCCGTGTCTCCTCGTAATGGAGTTTCTTGCGGCAGTCTGCTTCTTCCTCCCTCCTTTCTTTCTTTTCTTCCCTTTTTTATTTCCAGTTAGTCGATTAATTTCAAGACGACCAGGTCAGACAGGGATGAGTTCGACGAAGTTGCGGCAAGGTTCTTCTGGCTGGCCGCCAGTGCCGCTCGACGTATTCATAACTGGCGGTGCTTCTCGCTTCGGAGCTTTTCACACTCGAGGGCTACAAACTACGGGGACAAAATGGCAGAGATAAAACGCGTACTTAACGCGCCGGTACTTTGGCTAATTAAGCCGGGATTTAAGAATCGCACTCGTTATTCGTCGCCTCTTTCTTTTAATTCCCCGAACAATTCATTTATTCCGGGCCTTCGTTCTCTCTTAGATGCTTCGTCGATCAATTCCACTTGGAATAGGAAAAATTTCTCGCTCGATTCTTACGTGGTTACGAGAAGAGGGATGATTGGAGGATTTATACAGAGAATTTCAAGCGGATATTTGAGAAATTGACAGAGTTTCACAAGCCGTTTCACAAGTGTTTCAATAAGCCAGAATAAGATGGGGATGGATATTGGGTATCTCGGGAATTAATGGATAAATTTAGCTGAAATTTGGGTAAGATATTCTTCGAAGCAGTGTTTCAATCTTGGCATCCTAATTTGTCAAATTTCCAAGGTAATTTTTAATAATAAAAAATGAAAGTGGTAAGAATCGCGCAATTTTCAATAATAAAAGCTGAAAGAGGTAAGAATCGCACTCGTACAATTATCAATATTTAAAAAAAGAAACTTAAAAGCATCAAGCTAATATACATATACACGTTTCACTAAAAAAAATCATTTGATTCAATCCCCGTTGATATCCTGTAAAAAAGAAAACTCGCAAATGAACCCTAACGTTCTTACATCCAGCGTCCTGTTCAATTCACGAATGTAAATCACAGCTGGTCGAATGCACGCGGTCGTCGATTCGGAAATGATTTCGTCGGGGGATGATTAATGATTGGAAATGGCGTAGAAGCGCGACCGCGGTGATTTAAAACAACGCCGCGATCAGCGTAATTCAATAGATGATCGACAAACGAGCGCAACTCTCCGCTTAGCGCCTACGAAATTTGGAAATTGAGGTCCGTGCAACATTGTTCCTGTCCATCGAGCTTCACCGCCAGACACACCGGTCGCGTGCGCTTCCATTAACGCTGCTTTCAGCGCGATGCGTTTTCACCTGTGATCGTGCGTTCAACCTTACCGAGGTGTTCGCTACGACACGCGGAATCGAAAGGTTTCCGATTCTCATTCTTCCGTACTAATTACTCAACCGTTAAAGAAACACCAAACATCGCGCAGACTGGCTACGCGTACCCGTATCGCACCGAAAGCAGCTTAACTCTCCGGTCGTTAATTATCACTGTGCTGATAAATAATTGGCGTTACTTCGTTAACGCGACCCGCGTAATTGAATAATTCTAACCGGTTGTACCGCTGGATATTACACGCGAAAGGAAGTAAGAATAACAATGCCCTTCGTGTACGAGAGAAAAAGAAAAAGGATCTCATTATCGTTGTAGAAATTCTGACACAGAAAAAGGTATGTCTTTCAATTAGCCAAGTTTCCATTGTACATTTCTACATAATAGCACGTTGTACAGTTGCGTCTGCATTTAGAAAACTGTTTAAATAGCAAGAATACTCTTTCATCAGCCGGCTGAAAGACCGCCGCTGGCGGAATTTTCTGACTGACTTGCCACGCATCAGCCAAGATTCTCCATTATCGGTAACACGCCAATCGGCCGTTTCCGGCCGGTGCAATTACACGCGGGTACACCGTCAATTAAGCAAGTTTAATCGGTAATCGGATTATCGGTGATACGCATTATCCTGCATCGTTGCATCAAGCCAGTATTCTACCTCTCGCTCTCCCTTACACCATTCCCTGGCAGTCATGCGTATGAACAGCCGAAAAGTCAAGTTAATTTAATCATTATATCATTCAAGCAATTAGCACGCATCCAGGGCGTTTTCGTTCGCGCGATAAACGGCGGGGCTATTGTAACGAGCGTTACGAGAGAGCACAATTATTTCATCTGATCCGTGGCCGTCGCACCGTACCGATTATTTGCATCGTTCTACGGGCTAACCTCGATTATAATTTCACCGTGCACAGCTTTTATGGTCAGCCATTATTTACCTCTCGTTGTTTGCCGGCTTGTTACATTGTCCCGTGATTGGTAAACGCGATGTTAATGAAACGATCGGAGCGACGATCGGAGCGATGATTTATGCCACACTCGTGGTGTCAATTTCACGTCTCATTAAAGACTACGCGACACCACGTTAACGATGCAAACAGAGTTCGAGTGTGTGATTTCTTTTTTCTTTTCAAAAGTTCAACAGTGTGTACCTTTTAACAGTTACTTTTCTCCACGGTGTTTCCCTCCTTAAGGAGATTTATGTCGGACGTTTCAACCGGAATTATTCAGAAAAACAGTGACCGGTGAGTAATTGCAGCTGTTGCGTACACGCCAGGATAAGACCACGGGGCGAAGTCTCGTGGTAATTGAATTGCTTTATTCCTGGAAACGGAAAACGCTCCGGCTACTGCCTTTCCGCTGCAGGATTGGGAACCGGAACTGTGCCTCTTAGACACGCCAAACCTTTGTTTCGAATCGCGCTGTTAAAGTTCTTCCTCGGTCACTCCCACACAATTCTCCTCTTTCCACACGCTTAACTATACTCAAACTTGATTAAAACTATTTCCAACTAAACCTACTGCTTATTGGTCCAACCTACAAAGAGAAAAAACATTGTCCATTTCAATACAACTGCGAGATACGTATCGAAAGATTTACTCGTGAAACCTGAACGCTCAACAAGTTCTCGACCGAAGATTCCGCAGACCGATGTTCCCCGGTTTCGCGTAGACGTTATTAACTGAATAACTATGCTTGCAGGTAACCATTGGAGTATCTCGAAAGCGAGGAAAACGTCGATCTCGTCTAGGTTGCACGATCAAGTTTCGTTGGGTGGTGAGGTTGCGGTCGGACCAGTTCGAACTCATTCAAGGTGCGAAATTATATTGCTGGCTTCGCGAAGGCACGCGTATCTGCTTACCAGAGTACCAAGCTGTACAGGTAGTAGGTATACGTAGACACCATAGCCGTTGTGCAATCAGACAGCCCCGATATCGCCATATTCTTGCACACGTTGGTCCACCAACTGGCTAACGAAATTCTTCCTCACGGTCGCTTTATCCCAGCTTATTTCCACCGCTCGACAGCCTCCAATTATTTTTACCCCTTATCTGTACAACGTACACTCGAAAAGTGTGTACCTTTCCCCTCCGTGGACGACGACGACGAGTATTATGACAACGGAATAAATTTCCTCGACTCGTGCAGAAACGGTGGTTTCTACCTAGGTAAGTAGCTTCAGGATCGGGCCAAGTTTAAGGCTCTCCTCTCCTCTCTCCAAGAGTCCCGCATACTTTGGCTAACAATCGCGCAGACGATTACAACGAAACTTGGCGTATTCGAGGAATTATACTTACTCTATACGTACTCTTTCGCCTGCAGAACTTCCGGTGGCCTATGAAATAATTCACCGAGCGTTATATTCACCGGTGTATGTATATGTATACCAGACACGAGAGTGACAATAGGAGATGGTTTAACAGTTTAAATCCGTCGATCTCGAATGCTGTTTCCACGGAGAAAATGAACGGACGATTTTCCAATGGAGATCTTCCGGTCGAATCGGGCCAACGATTCGTCCAGATGAAAAAGGGAGAGATGGAAACTATGGCGAAATTGTTAACGATGCACGGATAATGTACCCGCAATAAGCAAAGATATAGGGGATGTAGTTGATAGAACTAGGATTCGTAGGAAATGAACAACTCCTATGCAGAAACTTGAAATTCCATTATGAACTCCAAACAGCGAGTTCTAGACTCATCCCAAAGGATTGTCTGCTACGAAATTCAAGTTACGTATACTTAGCCTCTCTCTCTCTCGGACATCGATTCTCCGGTTAATTTTCCTGTCAATTTACCACAAGGTTGCCTCACTTCCGGCGAAATTTCTTAAAATTGTCAATTTTCCGCGGGGAGGGTCTGCCCGTGTCCCTTAAGAAGCAACGGTAATTTCGAATCTTTCTGTATCAAAGGAGAAGGTCCGCAAGGTAGTTACGTCAAAATCGACGTTTCCTGCGATACCATCGCAATTTCGAGAGGCAAGCGAGGCCACCGTGGAACTCTCCAGCCTCGATACGTATGTATATCAGGCTTGTACATCGTTCACCGGGTGCCGTGGTCGAGAACCCCTTGCTCGTACACCTTCAATAGGGTGTCTGGCTTGCGTCCAAACGACCGCGACTTCGAGGATGACGATCAAAATGAGATTCTCGAGCGAATGCTCGAACGGAGCAAGGATTACGCGTCCTAGTATCGAAGGACGTCAACCGTCGAATGAACTGAGTGAGTCGGTTCGATAACCAAGGAAACCAGCTCAAGGACCACCAATTTTTCCACGGCAAACGTGTATTTCTTCTTTCCTCTTTTCCGGCATTTTTTTTTTTAATAAAAATTCGTCGACTTTGACGGGAATGGAAATTTCAGAGAACGAAGGGTAAAGAGAGAGAGAGAGAGAGTGGAAAAAACGGTCGTTTGAGGCTGGATCCTGTCAAAGGAATATCATCCTGCGTGTACACGCGTGTAGAAGGGGGAGGAAAGCTTTGAACACTCTCTCTCCGCCGTTATTGTAGGTATGTATATTAAAGTTGAAAAGCCAATTCCCGAATTTGATCTGCGATTTCAAACCCCACAGCGGCGGTATTTTTCGTTATTTCATAGCCGCTTCTTTTTGTCGCTTTTTGCTCTCCATGATGGAGGCACGTTTCACATATTTCGTTACTCACCTAACACTGTGCCCACGTAAGAATGTGCGGTGTCGAAGTCGATAGGCCCGTTCGTGCTCTCGAATGTCGCGTCTCTGCTGAACAGGCTTCTGTCTCTGATCAGACGCAGTGTCCATTGCCTGTAACAGTAACATAAATCCTTCAACCCTTTCGTTACGGCAGATTTTAATGCGCAACGTGGGCGACTGGCGGTAAATTTTCAACCACGGTACCCTTTCAAAATTCGGTTTGTTAAATTAAGATGGAAGTGCGCGAGGATAAAACGGAGGCTCTAACGATGTAACGCGAGCAAAGTAGGCGCCATTGGTAATGAAAGGGTTAAGTCCTAAAAAAATCCTACTCAACCAGAGTATTCACGTTTCTCTAGCGAGGTAGATTTCGAAAGGATCTAAGACTCTCCGGTATTTCTACAGTGTCGCCTCGTAGGATCTAGTTTTCCCTCACGTGGGCACAGGTTGAATCGAAGCAAACGCGTATCTCTGTATTCACGGAGGCGTCTAACGACCTATGCTCGCGCGAGTAGAACGAAAGAAAGGAAGGAAGGTGCGCGCAACGCTTTGGAAAAAAATGTCGCGGTGGGTGGCACGCAGATGTTGCACCACTCTCCTCTCCCATGCAAAGAACCAGCGTAACGTTTTTGCAACAGAGAGGCCGCAGTTTGTCGCACGGTGCCGGTGAAACGACCCTAAACGCGATTAAAATCATCCCGTCGATCGAAATTCAAAAGAAATTCGTCGTTCGACGGTGAGTCTGACGGGCGAATAAATAAAATCGCTTTATTAGATTGGCAGTTTTTCGACTGGCAGAGGGAATCGGATTTACGCGTTATTGGATTTGTTATTGGGGACTCAGGCAAAGGCGAGCTTCAAAGAAATCAAATTTCCTCCAATTATTTTTAATACAGGAACGATAGGTATTTATAGTTATTGCGCGTTACGAGGGAAATATACGGGATGTCTGCTCGGAGGTATGCTGTAACAACGGAACCTTTGTTATTGGAACGATATTATAATTGAATATTTTCCATATTAACCGTAGTTAAATTGCACAGGATTTTACAAAATATACGTCGATAAACATCGGTATATTAAATATGCAGCACACTGGTTGCATATATTTAAAAAAACAGCATAGAAAGTATGAAAAATATGCAAAATAGATGGTATCAAGTCTCCACTATATTACGAATTTTCTATAAAAAAAAAAAAGAAAGAAATATACATTTGCATGAACGTCTGCAGTCTAGCGATAATATACAATATAGGGTCTTCTAGAATCGCTAAACCGCTATTCGCCGAGCAGATTTCTGTCGAAATTTCCCGAGTTGCACAAAGGGAAGCAAGGAAAGGATCCTCCAGTTCCTTTGTCTCGTGTAAAAAGAATTTAATACGGTGTATTACCATAAAGAAACGAGCCTCGAGCCGGCATTACGCAAGTATTAACGGAAGAGCAACAATTAATCGCGGATCCTTGTACCTCCTCGCTCTTTGTCTTTCACTCTCCCCCGCTCCACCTATCTGGGCCGCAATTATTTTCTTAACTCGATATCGCGAGCTCCTCCGTGTGCGATAACGGTGAACCTTGTTTCCTTCCTACTTCACGAGGACGACCACGCTTTTGTCCCATGAAATTGGTCCCGTTAAGAAATTCATAAGGCCGTTCGAGTGCTCGCGAGAACCGGTCGACATCGAGGCGTGTAAGTCTGAGAACGTTGAAAACGATTCATCTGGTAATCCTTGGGATTTCCAGCGTGATTCAGAGGATCGATGGGAATACTCTTTTAAGTTATTCATACAAGAGCCAACGCGGAAAGCCGATATATCGCCTATTTGTAACGGCTATTATCGTATATTCACAGCTCCCTCGACTACTTGTCCGGATTCAGGGTGCCTCGGCTTATCGGCGCCTGGACACTTCTGGAAATTCGTTCTCGAGAGGGTGACACTTCTTCGACAGAATGCGAGGAGGAGCTTTGGTAACAATTTTACACCGCGGAAACTCGGATAAGAATCGTCTGTTTGTTTAACTTCCATTTCAAATTTCACGCGACAATATTTTTCTTCCTTCACAAACCTCGATTTCTCCTCCTTTATCCTCCCTGTTCCACCGTTATTCCTCTTTTTGCCCTCCGATTTCCTACTCCACGATTCGTATCACAGATAATCGAAAATAGACGTAGAATATTTGGTTAGCTGCGGTACGTTCCAAATAATCCCAGCACGCTGCGAATTTAATTAAATCTAATCCATTTACCCTCGAATCCGGGATTATACGTCCGCGTACTAGCCACATTCCCTACGCAATCCGCATTTCAATGTCACTACGTCGAATCCTTTCACGTTTCTAAATTTAATATGCCTCATCTTAGGCTCGTCGGTAACGTCAAACCGAAGCTTCGATGCTTATTATCGTTACATCTCGTCGTTTTCCTCGTTTCGTCCTTCGGCTACCACCGCGAGCCTTCTCATCACCGCCACACGCACGGAAGAATAGAATAAAGGAAAGAACGGCGTGATCGTCTCACGTCATCGTCCAAGAATCGCTGAATCACGAGAGCACAACGATCGTTCGATCTTACTGGATCCTCGGAACAGCGACCACTGCACGCTTCTTCGACGTTTCACGATGACTGGACGACGACGACGACCGTGAGACGTCTATCCGCTACCATTGAACCCTTGCCTGTCCACGATAGTTCAATCATCCGTCCAAGACGAACACGGTTGCGGCTAGCCAAACGCAACGAAACAGACGCAAGGTTAACCGGTGATGGTATTTCAATGATTTCTTCTGGTGTGATTCATCTTTCAGCGATGTTGTTTTTTGGCGAACGTGTCTTCAGAGCGAAAAAATATGATCCTCGAAAGGATCGAGGGGAATTTCGGAGGAATCGAAGGCAAATATTTTCAAGATCGTCGAGCGATCAATCCGTTCTGAACTTAAACCGATCTATCTCGATGGTGAAAAATCGGTAGAGATCGCAGTGACGAATCATGCTATTCCGGTCGAGAGAACGTTGGATTGATGGAAGGATCGAGGGAGTGAAGGTTTGTAGAAGATATTAATTAACGTCTTTAACGATAAAAATTCCCAAAAAGGTCTATCCATCCACGGTACACCTATTCCTCGGTAAATCCCTTTGAAAACGGGGAAAAGTAGACACCGCGAGATTTCGATCTCGTGTGACAAAGTTTTCCTAATCGCATCAGCGATCCCGTGATATCGCTTGGTTAGGTCAATAGGCCTGGATACAATTAAGGTCAAGTTCGTGTGGGATCTGTGTGTGTGTGTGTGGTTGCACACAGCAGCGTACGTTCAGGGTTTGCCACGTAAAGGGGGTGTGGATGTGCGGGTACATTAACAGAGTTACAGGATACTTGGCACTATATCAAGCCGGGAAACAAAGCTTTCCTGACATTTGAAAGCGATCCACCGCATAGAGATAATACAATTCCCCTCTGTTTCCACAAAATTACGTCATTTTTGTTTTCCTGAAATTTCCCTTAAATGAAATTAATTACGCGACCGGACGATATAAATTTCCACCCCCTCACCACCGCTTATCATCCACGTTCTACCGGACAGGCGCTTTCGACCAATCTACAATGCATCTTCTTTTATACGTCGTTTGAAACGTTGCACGGTTACGCATGTATGTATTATTCGGTGGATTTTCACGGCGTAAAATAATTAACCCGCGAACGGGGTAATTCGGTTTTCCTTGGGATCGCTTTGATAACTTTTTCGTTCGCGTGATCTCTAATTCATCCCTACAAATGGAGGTCGTTAATGTTTCAGCCAGGCTTTTTATAATGGATAAGATTTGGTTGATTGAAGGAGAAACAAGCCTGGATCCGAGGGACTAATCAAGGAGGTAAATTGAATCTTAATTCAATATTCCGCAGGATCCGGAATCTCCAACAACCGCAAAATACCAAATCAACTGTAGCAATTTAACATAAGAGGGATCGATTAATCGAGGAATCTACGAGTCCTACGGGACTAAATCCATCGCGTCGAACATTCACCTCGTCTGGCTTTTCTCGAATAATTTCGCGGTGAAAAACAGCAATTCCCAGTCGATCGTCGAACGACAATTACCAATCGATCTATTTACGTCCGCGCGGATGGGAAAGTGGAGAAAAGGGCGTACAGTTGCACCTTTGATCGTCCACGCTCGACTTCAGAGGCTGGTTCGTGAGGTTAATTAAATTTCAGTCGCGAAGGACGGCCAGAAATGAAATTGCCTTTCCTCGTGAATTCGATCCGTTTTCGGGCCCCACCCACCTATATACCTCTCTCCTACCTTTTCACCCAAGTCACTCGTTCGAGACCCGCATAGTCCGCGTGCCGAAGATTCGTCGCGTCCGCCACGTAGCGGGGCGACAAACTCGCTGCTCACGTTGGTGTTGCTGGGAAAATAAGCGAGCTCGCGAGCAAGCGACGCGGTGCGGTGTCTAGAAGGAACGGAATCGAATGTCTCTCGAATAATATCGCCCCCTTTCTTCCTTCTGTGTCTCTGTGCATGTTCGAATAAACGCGGGGCGTTCGTCTCTTTATGCAAATCGGTCGAATTCACGGCAAGCAATAAAATGTAAAGCAGAACGGTAGGTGGGCCATCCACTACATTCTCGATGTCGTACCAACCGTACCTACTCTTTTTCTTTCTCTATCCTATGTACACGTTCAGTCTCTGGCCGCTTTCCACCCTGCTGCACCTGGTACAAACTGGCAAGATAATGGCACGGGGGAGGAAGGAAAGCGACGCGTCCTTTGTATGTATCGAGGCGGTAGCAGCGCGATTTAACTCAGCCAGAACGAGCCGGCAGACGGTTTATTGGGGTGTTTCCACCCCTTTGTCATGCCAGAAATCAACCTACGCGTACGCGTCCGTGCTGACATGTAACCGACAAGTATTTTATTGCGGGTTCTTTATTTTTTTTAGATATTATTTCATCCTGCAACTGTCAGGTAGGGTAGTTTGTTGTATTTCGATGAACTTTTCACTCTTTCTACAAGTAAGAACGAGTCCTACTTGGTAGCCACTAATGATGTTAAATTTAAGCTACATCGCGGTTGTGTTAAAAAGGAACTGGTAATAATTCTGAGAATATGCTACATAGCAAACGCGGTCTGGCATTAACCACGAAAAAAATCCTCGACGAAACGAAGTTTAAGAGGGAAAGAAGGACTGGCTGGGTTGGCGTAAGCAAAAGTCTCTAAGCGAAGAGTCTCTTTGATCCGGAAGCGGAAGAAAGAAGAGTGGTCGTCGCGGGTTGCGTGGTAATTCGTTAAAGAATCCTTTAATACCCGCCGCGTTCATTTCGCGCTGCAATTTCCCCTGGGGTGAAAATTGTGTCGTGACCTAGCTTATGTAGATGCTAGTTAACCGGAGAGCGCACGGTTACACTTTTACTGCATAATGTAGAGATAGGGGGGAAAAAAGGAATAGGAGAAAACTGACTCACTTGTCGAGAGCCTTCAGATGTAACAGCAGAGGCTGATTGTCGACCGCGCCGAAGACATCGCGTCGCATCCGGTTACGATGTTGTCTCAAGGCCGCGGTATCATAGGAGGCCACCTCGTAATAGCCGATGTAAGAGCCGTGAGTAATACCTGAAACAGAAAATCTTCCATTTACTTGCATGCACACACGCACGTTGCTGTAACATATTGTCGACGTGGTTCACCAGTGGGTCATCAAAGGATGTTCTCAATTGTCGACGTGACCCACCGATGGGTCGTGGAACGATGGTCTTAATTGTCAACGTGACCCATCGATGGCTCATTTCGTCATGGATGACAAAAATATTGAATGGGCGGATGACCCACCGGTGGGTCACCGAGCAGTGCTCTTACTTGTCGATGTGAGCCACTGGTGGGTCATCAAGTGATGTTTTTAATTGTCGACGTGACCCATCGATGGCTCATTTCGTCATGGATGACAAAAATATTGAATGGGCGAATGACCCACCGGTGGGTCACCGAGCAGTGCTCTTAATTTTCAACGCGATCCACCGATGGGTCGTGGAACGATGGTCTTAATTGCCAACGTGACCCATCGATGGCTCATTTCGTCATGGATGACAAAAATATTGAATGGACGGATGACCCACCGGTGGGTCACCGAGCGGTGCTCTTAATTGTCGACGTGACCCATCGATGGCTCATTTCGTTATGGATAACAAAAATATTTAATGGACGGATGACCCACGAGTGAGACATGGAGTAATACTCTTACTTGTCGACGTGACCCACCGATAGGTCATTCCGACATGGATGACACGTGACCCATCGATGGCTCATTTCGTTACGGATGACAAAAATATTTAATGGACGGATGACCCACGAGTGGGACATGGAGTAATACTCTTACTTGTCGACGTGACCCACCGATAGGTCATTCCGACATGGATGACAAAAAAGACCGAATAGATTGATAGGACTATGTTACTCTGTGACTCTATACGAGCCGTTTATTTTGAAATTGAAGCAAGTCCACTTGTTATTTTAACTGTAGGTTATTTTCAGATAAAAAGATCATATTAAATTCTCTCTTTATCAAAAATGGACCTGCTCCACTTGCAAAATAAACAGATCCTATCTTCCCTCGAAATATACTATCCCGTGGCTCTACGTATTTCCCTGGAAAATTCTACAAACTAACGTCCTCCCCTCAGTTCTGCCCTGTCCTTTCTATCTACACGCAATTGGCGCCAGGGTGGAATTCTGTGGGATCTTGTTTTCAAAATGTCAATCGACACATAGGCTACGGAAACTCTCTCTCCCAAACAATGTCTAGACATTCCACCCGCATGGCGCCGATAAAGATAAACGAGTAAAAAGAAGAAAAAAAGGAGAGGAAAAGACAAAGAAAAATGGAAGCAGTTAGAAGGCTGCATCGAGCAAATTGCACGGAGTGAAGCAGGGAGCAGCATGGCGATTAGTGCAACTCGGAGGCTGCGTTCTCGAGTTGCATCGTAAAATATCGGATTGCGTGGAATGGCCCATTAACCGAGCGTCCCTCCGCTTCCCGGCCTTTTAACGGGACAAGAGAAACACAACAAAGAGAAACTGTTTAAACGATCTTGCAAAATTCGAAGCTCCGGGAACGGGACTTTCACTATCGCGACGCTGGACGAGGGAACTATGCCAATTTCGTCAGACCTACAACGTTGACGTAAGGAAAGTAATTGTAAGTGTGGGAGATACGAATTTCGCGTTGCTTTCTTGGAAATTAAGCTTAATGTAAGTCACTTCTTCGAGCATCTTTTCTCACCGTTTGAAGATTTGGGGGGGAAAATTGCATATAGTATAGAACGTGTCTCTTCGTTTCTCTATTCTCCAACGAAGAACATTCAAGACGAGATTACCATTTGGAAAGGAACGAGCGTGAAATCCTCTTAGGAACACGATAACTTCGATTTTCAGAGAGTGTACGATATGTAGGTATTTCTATGAAAACCGACACATGATCTTTCGCGAAAGATAGGATCAACGAAGAAAGAAAGAGGACTCTTGCAATTAGAGTGGCATTCGGGGTCGTGTTTCTATTGTTCGACCTGGTAAGTACCGATCAAGAACAAAAGAGGGAACGCTCGAGAGACAAAAGCGGAGTGTTGACTGTTTAACGGAGTTGAACGACGCTTCGTGGCCCGTTCTCCATCTGGCCGCCTCGTACGGCTTACAGCTTATGCAACACTCTGCTACGATAATCTAATTACCGTGGCTCGTTATCGATGCCTCGGCCCGGCAACCGACCACCCTATAGCGGACGCTTTGTATCGGGTTTTCCATCGAGAATCGGTACACCGAGGGACCATAGTTCGTGTAATAACGTCCTATGAAAAATGCTCCCGTTTCAAACGTGACTGTGTACCATTCCTAGTATCTCTATTAGAATGGTCTACGAGGGCAAATACGAAGGGGGTATGCATAGAGAGATACATGCTTTGGAAGTCACGCGTAGACTATAGATTTGCCGAAACTTTCCTGCGGAACATCTCCTTCGAATTGCAAATGTAAATTCCAATTTGAATTTGAATTCCGATTTGAAATTAGAAATTGAATCTCATTGGCTGAAATTAAATTGAGAATAGCTTGAATTTCATTGGCTCGAGTTAAATTTTGAATATCTGGAATTTTATCGGTCGAATTTAAATTTCGAATAGTTTGAATTCTACCGGCTTCAACGACATTGGCTGAGTTCAAATTTTCAAAATTTCGAATTCCATTGGTTCAACTTGAAATTCGAATAATTTAAATCGAATTCTTAAATTTGAGTAGGTATTTAGAATCTGATTGGCTGAATTTAAGTTTGCCAATTGGATTGGTTAAATTTGAATATCTAAAATTCCCATTAATTCGAATTTGGTCGACTCAGTTGACAATTAATTACTTCAATCTCTATTCTCACATATTTCAAACACGTACACGTCCAAATTTACATAATTCGATATCTACAAGAATCGGTCAGAATTCATTGGAATTATTACATTAAACCGGCGCTATTAAACTTTCTATTACATTCACCGATACACGCTCTGTTAATAATAGTAGTAATTAATTGAAAAGGCCAGGCGTCAATAGTATCCATCAACGAGCCACGAAGCCCTCTAAAGGGAGGGACGTCCCCTTTCAATTCCAAAATAGCGTCCACGCTCTAATCTCTATCAAAGCGTGTTAATGAAACAAAGCGGGCATGTGGAAATTAGCAGAAGCTCATTGAATAGCCAGAATCAAACGTGACTCACCTCTGTGCGGTGGCACTGGATGAAGAGGCGAGGCAATGCTAATAATTAAATGGCAGCCAAGCACCGCGAAGAAAAACAATTCTCTGGCTAGTTTCGGGTGACGTTTCTTAGACATGAAGGGGTACATCGCGGCCCTCAAGGCCCCGCTGTGCCCTCTTCTATCTTCTTCGTCCTCCTCCTCTTCCTCTTCGTCGACGGCCAGGGCCGTACCGCGCATCGGCTCGACGTTCTCTGGCCCAGCAACAACTAATGGCGCTATCTGCCTTTCGTCGAACAGCCGACCACCACACTTTGCGAGTCACCCACTACAATCATCTCTCTTTCTCCTCCTCTGACTTCGATCTCCCTCCTCCTCCTCCTCCTCCTCTTCTTCTTCTTCCTCCTCCTCCTCTTCCAACGAACGTGCTTCCGCCACGTCCTCTTTCTCCTCCGTAGGTCGCTCAACCTTTCGACCCTCCTCCTCCCTCGCTCTCAGCCTTTTTTCTTCCCACCTCTTGTTACCTTCGAAGATCCTCCAAGTCCTTCTTCGTCGATCGATCTCGCTCCTGGAAAAAGAAATCACCCGAGGACCAGGATTAATTCGCGAAGATAGGACTTGCTGGTAGAGGTAGTACGTGAGACGTTTTTCCGATTTCTCGGCTAAGGTTTTGATCGTTCAAAACGATCCTTGGTCAAATAATCAATTTGGGCATATAGTAGTTGTTACAGAGTCGAGGAATTAATTCTGTTAATTTCGCCGGTGGAAGTTTTATCGAACTTCCGATAGGATTTCATTTAGAGGAAAAAAAAAAAGGGAAGAAAGATTCGAATTTCTTCAAACGTGGAAGATTAAAGCTTCCCATTTAGAAATTCCGCTCAGCCAGCCGCAGAGAGAAGGTGTTTCGAATAATGAAAACCGTTCTCCCTAGGTTTAATCCTGCCCCAAGAAAATTAACTCCTCCGCGATGAGAAACAAAGCAAGGAGTAAAAAAAAAAGAAAAAAGGGAGGAGGAGGAAGAAAAAGAAATAAAGCGAAGGAGAAGAAAGAGAGATGGTGGAGAGAATCGCAAGGCGCGTGCAATCAACCGCTCTGGAGAACCGTTGCCAATTTACCGCTACCCTCGACGCACACGCTCGTTCGCGTGTCGCCGCTAATAATGGCCAATTGATACGTTATCGCTGCATATACACGGTGTGTATCGAATATTCGACGTTGGATCGCGCGTGTACCTTGCGCATCTACGGCTCCATTGTTCTTTCCTCTCGTAGGGGAAAGATGATAAAGCCACGGCACCTCTACGTGGGACGATTATCATTCGCGGATCGTCGAGCGGAGCCGAGCGAGACAATTTTGCAAATTGTCGCCACGGAGACGCGCCTCGAATTCTCTTCCATTTCTTCCCTCCTCTCTCTCTCTCTACATTTCGATTTTTCCAACGCGTAACAATTTGTCCGTGGAACGCGTGAACGCGAAAACCAACGCGGCGATAAAATGCTACACAATCGAGGAGGAAAGAAGAAAAAAATTCAAGGTAGAATACAGAGAGAAAGATTGCCACGGTAGGCTAGGCCGTGAACGATCCCAGCTGATTCGTTGGTAGAAACGGAAAGCCGATTCGCGGGTTAAACACGGTTATCTAGTTTCTCCGCTCGCCGTTCCATTTTTTACCACTTTTCGACCCAATTGCCCTATCGGAGATCGCGTAGAAAAAAACTGCTTCTCTAATTATTTGCCGTGGAAAAAAGGTGATCGAAGATAGAACCGTGTCGAGCTAACACCGATCTTCGTAGAATTTCTTAAGAGTGTTGAGAAATTAAGAGACACTCTGTGCAGCAGCTTTCGCTGCGGGAAGGATACAAAAAGAGGCGGAGAATGGAAGGAAGAAAGGTTTCGTGGGTGTTACAAGAATGGAAAGAAGAAATCCGTTCGTTTCGAAGCAACGTGTCGCAAAATACAGAATAGAAACGCGCCGCGCCGGGGAAAAGAGGAAAATCAACGTGTCCCACTCGGACGTGAACAGTCGAACCGTGACTGTACGAGGCTGGATATATCGTTTTCCCATAGCTCGCGCGGAAGTTTACCGCGACAACCGACGGACAGACTCGATTCTGTGGTGTGCTGTGTGTCACTGCTGGACAAGCAAACGTTTCGCGTAACGCCATTATCACGCATGAAAAGCTGCCGCGAATATACACATATATCGTACACCTTTCCCTTCGAAATCGTCGTGCTTTGACCAAACCACTTCTCTCTCTTTCAATACCCATCCCGTCGTTATTGCTGCATGTTTGCCGTACAGAAGAGAAGACTCCGAAGAGCACCGTTATGCGGGTGTGATGGGATTTTTCGAGCGATATATAGTGTGTTTGAAACGGCTTGAACTAAGTTCAAGGAAAGCAGAGTTCAGTCGTCGAACGTAGGTAGACGTTTCGTAACGAGTGAATGAAGTCAGTTGTAGAGAAGAAATAGTTGAGTTACTGTTATGGTGAGTGGTTATGCAAGGAGGAAATAATAAATAGAGAGAGGAGAAACGGGAAAGGAAAGATCCGTTTCCGTTCTCGGCCTCCTGGTGAACTCGTCACTTAAGAATACCGTGCGTTAGACGAGAGACTGTTCGACTCGTGTTAGATGTTCATATACAACAGGGTGATATAGAAAAAGGGTTCGTAACTTTTGGAGTAGATAGTGTATATTTGACAGTACTTTGAGAAAGTTAATCTTTTGATCTATGTTTTCTGGAACTTTTTTTCGTGATTTAGAAGTTACGAACATTTTTCTTTTAATCATATTATCGACGGGGACATTGCGGTGATCTAATAACGGGAAGTGAAAATGCACAGAAATTTGCTATAAAATCGTTCTTTTAATAGAAAAACTGATAATTTACCAAATTCGTAACTACAATATAAAAGAAGAAATAAAGAAATAACGCATATTAACTAAATTTAACAGCAATAATAACGCTTGATATTCATTTGGTGCATTAATGCATCATCCGTAACAGCTTAAAACTTTCAATTTGACGCGATATCGAGTCTTCCGTCGTAAAGGTTTTAATACTAATATTAGAGAGTATGTACTAGTGAGAAAGGTCAACGTCAGTCCGTCCCTCTGGTGGCGAAGCGTGGGAAGCTACCGTGACAGAATGATCGAAAGAAATGTAGCAAAAAAAAAAAAAAGAAAAAAGAAGGAATATTTTGTAAAATTTTATTTTTCGAAATAGTTGTACGATCGTAACGCGAGATATTTGTATTCATCGAGGAGCTTGTTCGTCGGTGGAGATACGAGGTTTAAGGGGGTTGTAGCGAATGGAACTAGGCGAGCATTGACGATGATTTATCGTGGAAGTTGGCCATCGCGTCTTCCTGCCCGCTGCTACACGCTCTACAGAGGAAATTTTTCAACGAACAACTTCTTAAGGAGACGTTTAAAGAATTGCCTTCTTTATCCGCCTTACACCAGTGTTCTCGCGCTCATCTTACGCAACACTGAATTCCTATTGCTTTCTCGTTTATCCTGTCGATTAGTTGTGGCTTGTAAAATCACTCGTCTATAACATCCTCCGTCGTTTAACCCTTTCCGCTCCAACCATCGACAATATTGGCTTTAACCCCCCACAGCCCCTCCTTCTTTTAAGATTTTTCTTTGAGAAAGATTTATTTTGCTAATTGTGTTTTATGGAAAATTAGAAACAAACTTTCTTTCCGACATCGCGACACCTGGGGATCATAGGAATAACCATGGAGAAATGCACTAATAGCCCTATAATATAATGTATATATTATAACCTAACCTAATCTATAGCTCTGGGGCTATTAAGTTATAGCACTATAACTTAACCTATTAGTTGACCTAGCATAACCTATGAGGTTCTAGTATTACAATCTAACCTAACCAGTGAATTAGCAAAAATTGACAAACGAAAATACTAACAGCCGCAGATGACTCGTTGAAACAAAGTAGTCCAGCCGTGACTAAGGTCATTCGAGACTCGTGCACGCGAAATCCCCGTCCATTTCCGCGCACCGACTGAAATTTCATCGGTGGCCTAAAGGAGTATCGAACTTCTCTGATGAACACTACGGTCCAGCAGTAGACCACCTCGAACCACTAAGAGAAACACGAACAAGCTTAATCGCATCACGTAAACCATAAACTCCGTTCCTATTCTCTATCGTCTGTCTTACTCGACAAACATCGGACAATTTTCCATCGAGCGCACCTCGCTGAACCGTTACTTCGTAACGCGCGCACGGCGCGCCGTGAAACACGTTTTGCGTAATGTCCTAAGCGTTCCGCGAGCCAATAGCAACTCCTCTAAGCTGTGATCCTCGAGGTCACTAGGAGAGACGAAAGTTTCGACCGGTCGAAACCGGTGAAAATTTTCGACGTTTCAAAGCCGGCAAAATCCAAAGGGGGTAGAAGGGGGTGAGCCGCGAACGTGCGGGGTTTATTAATCCCCGGCTTAGGGCGATTTCCACGGGCAACGGTTACGTTGATCTGGGAAATTGCGTCGAACCGAAAGAGAGGGAGGGATGGCAAAGTTTCGGGATTATTAATTCCAAGTTTCCATTGTGATCGATATCGCGTTATATATATATATATTGAATTAAACAAAAGGGTTCGAGAGGTTCGCGGTGATCTGGATAGAGTTTCTCATTCACATCGCTGGTGATCGATGTGTGGAAGTTCATGGATTAACCGTTACGATTAATACGGCGTGCTGCTTAAGTGCCGTGGCGAATTAAGTGAATCGAAATGAGCGGTGTTGTTTGTTGCACAATGTCGATATTGGCTGTACAAGGAGGGAAATTACACGTGGTTACTTGCAGAGAATATTGCTACAAGTGATAAAAGACGAGTTAATTTATCTTGAGAACTACTTGGAAATTTCTAAGTAACGAGTTTCGTCAGTTTCAATGTAGAGAATATACTTTCTTGATAGCGAAGTCTCGTTCAATGTATATACATCGATGTAATGAAATTATCAAGTTAAATTTTAAAAGTGATAAATTCAAATATTGAATCTGCGCAAACGGTTAACGAGTATTAGCACTCACACTTTTTCGAACGCCGGTAGTCGAGTTACTTAAAGTAGCCGCCCACGACTGGTAGAACAATAGTTTCGACCTCCTAACAGACTAGAGTTATTTTTTAATATAACTTTCACGCAGATAAGCGTCCTTATGCAACGCTCGTTACATGCGCCCGACTCGATATCCGCCGGCCGCGTTTAACGCTCGCTTTTCCCATTAAACGACAATTAAAGTCCACGCTAGAACTTTTATAATTTCCCGCACAGATAACCGCGATTCCTTTGATCCCCTCCATCTTACCCTTTTCCCTCCATATTTCCCGCCATAATTTATGTTATTTTTATTTCTTTCCTCTCTACCTTTTGTTTGCATCCCATAGAAATTCGCCCTTCGAGCCACATCCTACCGTTACGTTTATACACTGTTTCTGCTTTATTGTGCATTATTACTATTATCATTATTCATAAAGCGTTACGCCGAACAAAAATGCTATCTAACCTACAATCGCGTCCCGCGTGCGTTCCCTCGAAAAAGCCACATCCGTAGAAGCCACTTCCGGCTGTCAGTCCTGGGTGGCGCTGGGGACGCGTTCTACGTGACATTTAAATCTCCCATCGTGCGGGTGCAAACCGCGGTAAACACACTGGTATACACAAAACAAGTAGAAAGAGAAAGAGAAGGCGGTGCAAGGCAACGCAACGCGCGTCCCCTCGAATCCCGCGATGGTGATCGAACACGGTTTATATCTCTAAGGTGGTTCTTCACGAGAGAAATCTAGCATGGTTTCGCGAGGCGACTCGCGTTCCCTTCGACAGGTACATATACGTCGAGGGAAAAGGTACACACAGAAGGAGAGAGAGATGCAGGAGTAGACGTGCACGACAAAAAAAAGCAGTCGGGTACTCGGTCGCGCGAACAGAAAGAGTGAGATGGGGCGAGATAGGGATAGAATGGGAGAGAAGAACGGAGACGGTTAACAAGGAAGGAAAAGGAGAGACTAGCACGTAGAATATTGCGCGTGCTCGCTGACTCTCGCATACTATCTGACACCTACCTATGCACAGAGGCTCGAGTCCTGCCACGGGCGTCCTTTCCGCCGCGATTCTCGTCGTTCCGACCGGTTCTCGCTCGGATTACTCATTTACGGTCATCGTACCGCATCCTCTCGCACCACACCACCAATTCTATCCACAATATCACACACGTGCGTCACACGGTACCTGGAGTGCTCTCTCTCTCTCTGTGACTCTGTTACTCGACAATGAACAAAGAAATTCGTGGACAGACAGAGAGAGAGAGAGAGAGAAAAGTGGAAGAACAACGCGTAGGACGAAACTTTCACGGCACGATATAAACAAGAACGCGTTCCGCGTCGCACTGACGGGAGCACTCGTGACTCGCGCGAACGAAGACTCCGAGGACAACGACTTCCCCCACCTTTGTCGCGTTCGACCCAGCTGTGCTGCGCCCTCTCCCTCTCCACCTTGTGAACTCCTCTATATCCATTCTTATTTGACTGATAGCGCGTTCTCTTTCCTCTGGAAGATCCCTTCCATGCCTGGACGCGGACCAACGCTTTCCAATAGTGGCACGCTGTACCACCAACCCCACTATCCCCACCCTACTCTGACCACCGTGTTCCAACTCCCACCGCCGACGTGTAACTTGACCTTAGCCGTCGGTCAAAGGAAAGATGTGTTCCTGAAATAGAAGGGCGATCGAAGGGTCGGTATGGTACTTGTCAAATATCCTCTCGATATCGAGCAAAAAATATCGATACTTCAACGCTGAAATTTTTTCCACAATTTTTTATGTCAATTAACCCCTTTGTCGTTCCATGCTTTTGTTATAGTTGACTCTTTTCATAGGTGCTAGAATAGTCACGAGTGTATACGGTAGGAATTAACTGAAAAACAAACTGCTTTCATTTTTTAATCAACGCACATGGAATGAAAATTCTATAGAATTTCGTTGAATTCTTGTTTGCGTATGTATGAGGTTTAGCGCCAACCGTAGGTGTCCGTAAATGCAAGAAGATGAGCGTGTGATGTGGCCGAAGTGGGGTTGTTCAGTACATGAGGGGCCCCTCCACGGAAAACCCCTACAGCAGGCCTATTTAACCCCCCCCAATCCTGTCACCCCCGCTATAACCGAGCGACGTTTGCCACCCAGACCACTGGATATATTTTGTTCGTTTTCCCTTCCTGTTCGCTGTGGCCGCGTCAGTCAGGATGACCTCTACTGACAGGACCGAACTATCTTCGTTCTTCTGAATTTCCTTCCCTCCCTTTCTGAATACAAAATCAGATACCTCAAGATTGCATCTGAAGTACGTACATTCGCATTAGTTTAATTTGAAATTCAAGTTTTCATCTCTCTCGTAGAACTTTTTTAAGAACTTTGGCAAATTTGTTTGGCTAAATCCTAGGGGGTGTACTGAAATAAAATGTTGCAATTCTATTACCGTTAGTATGGAGTACGTAAAAATAGCAGAGGAGATTTAATTGTTAAATGATATTTGAAACACGATCGATCGATCACAGGTGGTAACTGATATTGCCGGAATTGGTACGTCTGGCATTCGCAGGTGACTTGACACGTAACCGAAAGATAGCGAAGCTAAAGAATTTTAATAAGTGCCTCTTATTATGGTAAATATTATTATCTAAGTACTAGTTTTATCAAAATACTAAGATTTGTTTCTTTTTTTTCTTGCAGGCTCGTTATTTTCGAGAGGAAGACATAGATGGTACGGTATTAATTCGTCGATTTTGTTATTAAAAATTATTTTTCGAAAAATAAACGTTAATTTTGTTTATAGAATTCAGGGAATGTTTTTACCTGTTTGCGAGAAATGGTCAGATACGTACTTTAGATGAACTCACAATCATTATGAGATCCTTAGGGTTGAGTCCCACTATTGCAGAATTAAATAAATACTTAAAGGAGAAAGGTAGGAACGAATTAACATGGTTTATGTTAATATTGAACTGTCAAAGTCAGAAACTTTGGTTTGTAGGTGGAAAAATGTCCTTTGCTGATTTTTTGGAGGTGATGCATTTACAAACAAGAGCAGAGGATCTTCCAAAAGAGGTGATAGAAGCCTTTCAAGCAGCAGATAAATTTAGAACAGGTAACCTACCTGCCAGACAGTTAGCTCACATGTTACTCCATTGGGGTGAACAATTAAGTACTAAAGAAGGTTGGTTTTACTTTATTCATTTGTGAAAAAACTATTTCAGCAACCATTCCTAATTCATTGATCCATTTCAGTGGAACAGATTTTCAGAGAGGCGAATGTATCTCCAAATGGACAAGTTAAATATGAAGACTTTGTTAAAATAGCCTGTGCACCTGTACCTGACTACTATTAACACCAATATCTACCATATCTTTAAGAGAATCTTTTATAAAACGTTTCATATTTATATAACCGTTTCATTCCGTCCTTTTACTACTACTAATAAAAGAATATCGTCATAAAACAAAAAAAGGAGTTTATTTCCGCCTTACATCTTATCCCTAAAAATGCTTACAATTAAAAAGTGCTCTTGGCACACATATATTTACAGACCATTTAACGCCGAACTCATATACCTGTGTCTTCCCCCCTACAACATACAAAAACCAGGAAGTAAAATGTCTGAGACCGTTCCTAGAAAGAAATGGAGAAAAGAGAAGCTTACAAAGTAGAAAAGAAAATCGATTTCCTAAACTTGTTTCGCTTAATATTCCCGTCATTGCCTTATTTCAGCCTTCTTTGGCGATGTTCGTGGTCGGTGGAGAGCCACACAGGATGACAGTAGTACTGATGATCGTTGTGAGAAAAAAAACGCAGAGAAGCGCACGATCGCTAACCAACGCGACCTGTTTCCAATCTAATTCCATCCTCTCCCGACGATCCTGCTCGGCGAGACGCTTCTCGTTCCTCTCGATCGTCGCGTGCACTCTTCCCAACACGCGTGACCATTGAGCCTCAAGGCCGCCCTCTTTTCCAAGATCTGCACCAGATTTTTTTCTAAGTTACAGCCTCTACTACTGGTTCTCACGAGTGAAGAGTTAAGTCTCACCTAAACTGGGACTACTGCTGTTACTCTCCTCCCTCCTGGTCACAAACTTGGGCGACGACTGCGACTGAGCCAGTTCCGGTTTGCAGTGCAGCGGGCAATTGTTTTTTCTCCGTGGTGGCTCGACCGGTTCCTAATGTAAATCGTACAAGAGAAAAAAAGAAGAGGAAGAAGGATATACATCTAACGTTTGATTGAACAGGGGGAGAAAGGGTAATATTTTCGCTACTAACCAGCTTCTATTTTCTTAGAATAATATACACTTTATCTTACTGATCTCTTTTCTTCTTGAAAATTAAGGAACACTATCTTCGCTAATTTATCCAAGAGCAAAGATCGTACGATTCTAGGCACCCTTGTCCCACGAACGCCTCGATGATGAAGATTCAACGTGACCACAGCTAATCCAGAGGCGAACGACACCAGGCATATGCTGACTCCGTAGTAAAGACCTGGAAATACAACGGTGTTAATGAACGTCCAGCGTGGTAGTCGTTAACCAGAATTAATCGAAGCCCCCGCGGAACGTTTCGTTGTTTCTGTATACATATTAATTGTCCACTACGTTACCAATTACAGAGTTTCAAGTTAAACGCACCCTGGTGCCTCGTACGATATCTCTCCTACAACGGGTTAAACGCGATTCCATTGCATTTCGTGCGAGCATCAGAGGACTTTCAAAGAGGACACTTGGGAGTTTTCAATCAACGCGGTTCACGCTATTGCCCGTATCGATCTCGTCGCAAATTTTCGACGAATCCACCTCTAATTCGATCGTTACAAAATCAGTTTAACTCTCGAGTACGAAAGAACGGAATCTCGTTGCAACTCGAGTGGAGTAAAAAGTGTTATCAATTCCTCAGAGACAGAGGATGTAAAGAAAGACGCTTTATCCCGGTGTAACCTGTGGGAAGAGAGAATCTCACGTTTCAGCGGCGACAGATAATGATCGGAGATTTCTTTTCATTCCCTCTGGTTCCCTTGTTTCGACTGTTCTGTATAATAGGAATAGCTTGTCCGACAAAGGTTCGTATCTCGAACGATTTATCGACGACAGCAGCACCTGAACCCATTCTTCGCCACTGTTTACCTGATTAAAGTGTACTCACTTATCAATGGGGTTTTCTCCGTGGGCGGCAGTGTCTCGCGAATGGTCATTAGGAAGACCGTCATGGAGAGGAGAGCCGAAATCCCGAGGGTGACTTTCTCCCCCGATTCAGACGGCACGTAGAATACCAGCAGTGCTTGAACAAACGCGGAGAACCGGTTAAAGGAAGAAGTTTCTTCGGTGTTCGCGGAATATCGAACACAGGAGAAGAGGGAGAGAGGGCATTCTTCAACTTTTCCTTTTTTTTCTCGTCGTGTCAAGGGTGGAAATAGTGAAAAGGGGAATAGAGGAAAAAGTTCTGTATAAATTTCTGGAGTTGAGTGAGAGAGAGACTACTCTTCTTTTGTTAACCGGACTATAATCGTGATCGTTTCCTTTGAAAAAAGAATCAAATTCTATCGTTACCAGAAAGAATTCTTTCTCTGTGGAGGAGAGAGAGGGGAAAAAAAGTCACTCTTCGTACGTTTTAATGAAATTTCCTTCTACCGGATCCGATAAGGATCCGCTTGACCCTCTTACGGATAAGGGTTGCATCGAACGATCCTCACAGCGTCATATTAAAAATAAGATACTGTATATAGTTAGCATTATGATAATGTCTTGTGTGCATCGCTGAGAGCGAGATCTGGCTCGTGGTTATAAGATAGGAGGAACAATGATAAAGAAAGGAGGAAAGGAAGATACTTAAAAATTAGTACACTGCTGTTCGTAACTGTTAGAACACCCGTTGTGTTCGTGTATGATCTGTTTGGCGAGGAGAGTGCAAGACTTTTGGGTCACCGATTTAGTTAAAACTTTGCATACTGGTGGATTTGATCCCCTTCTTCATGCAAATATAGCATTATATGGGCAGATACTCGAGAGTTTTTCAGATATTTATAATTAAAGTTTCATGATTACGAGAAACTTAAGTTTAGTTGTACAGCTCCTGGCGAAAAAATTAGGGCTCGCAATTTTCAACATCTTTCGTATTTTTAGTCAAATTTAAAGACTTGAACGTAATTTTTCTTTGATTACAGCATGTACCCTTTCCGGCATACTCTGTACGCACTGTTTTATCGTGTCCTTTATTTTTCCATCATTTTTCTCTTTAAATCACCTAATGTGGCGACTGGTAAGTGCTTTAACCCTTTCACTGCTGTTGGCGCCTGTAGGCGTTTGGAAAATTTGGAAGAATACAGTATCCTTAGCGCCTTTGGCGCACTTTCATCGCAAGTTAATCCTTAATTTTTGTTCCTTGCACGCTTAATTTAATAAAACAAATTTTAAAACGATGCGACCAAAACGAAAGATTTTGCAGCCGCGATTGAAATCTGCCGTAGCGAAAGGGTTAAGTAAACTCCAGACATTCGCAATGAGAATTTCCTGGCTATGGGAATATGGGGATTTTCTTTAATCAGAGTAATTCTCATTCCTATCCTGCGTATATGTGTACTGAGACCTCAGTCCACACACAGATATGTAACAAAGCGGAAAAACTAAAAAGTCAAAACACGAAAGACGTTAAAAATTGTGATTGACCCCAATTTTTTAATTTTTTAACTCACGAGCAGTCAGTGTGTATCGTTGGAAACTCACCAACACCGTTGATGAGTATACACGGCAGGATCAAATTAAACACGTAGAACATCGGTCGACGTCGCAGGCGAATCTCGTAAGTGATGTCTGGATAGGGTTCCGGGCAACAGGAGTAATACTCGACGTTTCTTCTCGCGGAGAAGTCGACCAGGTCGAATTCACCGTTCGCCTGGTAATTGCTCACGTCTCCTTGCTCGCTCTGCCTCTCCAGCTCCAACTGTTATACACCACAGGTATAGCGATTTTAGTCCCTTCAACAGTGTGATTCGTGTGGCGGTACACGACAAAATACACAGTTGTATTTCACGGTAGAACAAGAACAGGAGTTTGTACCACTTGTGGTATCTCTTCGTAGCGAACAATTATCCCCGAGAGATAGAGAAAGAGAGAAAGAGGGAGAGAATGAGAGATAGGTTCTAGAAGCTAGATTAAAGCGTTAAAGCGTCGCGTCGAATTAAATCCAGCGGAACGAAAGTACGGGACACTCGAGATTACGTGTATTACGTGTCAGTGTATCGCTTGGACATGTCTGTGGACAGGTGTCGGAAAAACGAGCCAACGCGAGAGCCATATTCGACGCGACGCGACGGGACTGGGGGTGGTTTCATCGGTATACTACGGCATTATATTTCTCCCCTTCTGTTCCGTGTTTGGATAGGTAAAGAGAATTGTTGAAAAATTTCAGACACCTTTTCGACGGAAATTTTGATCATTTGAAGGACTGAACGTGGATCTATCTGATAGCGAAATTTCGTTGGAAAATATTGAAAAATTCTGACGATACGATTGTCCTTTGTAAGACGTTACAGAGTTGTCGAATTTCTTCCTTTCGATAATCTTGCATTTAAAGCAAAAAAATAGATTCCTTCACCTCGCTACGTGATGGAGTTAAGGCCTAAGAAAGATGAAAAATAACTTTTTTCACTGAGAGCAGAAAATAGATTCTTCCACTTGACGGAGTTAAGGACTAAATCTGGTGAAAAAGTTCTGACGATAGAATTCCCTCTACAAGACACTACAGAGTTGCTAACTTTTTTCACTTAGATCAAAAAAACAGATTCTTCCACTTGACGGAGTTAAGGACGAAACCAGGTGAAAAAATTCCGACGACAGGATTGTCTCCTCAAGACGCTACAGAGTTGTCAACTTTTTTCACTCAGAGCAAAAAAACTAGATTCTTCCAGCTGATGGAGTTAAGGCCTAAGCCAGATGGTATTCGGGGCATTTTGGGTGGTAAAAACGTAGAGGCACGCAGAATGCATTCAGTAATGGTGGGTATAGGAAATGGGAAAACTCTGTGAAAGGGTGGGCTCGAGCGGCAAGTCTCGTCTGTACGGGGGAATGGCTCGCATTGAATTCTTCTTGCATGCGGGATTAAGCTGTTCGATTTGCCCGTGTCATTTTTGCGAGCTGCCGAGCCGGCGTTTTCGATTTGCCGCCGTTAAGCGTCCCTGGACGCCGGAAAAACCCATCTCCTTTTCCGCTCACGCTGCAAAATCTCCTCCGGTGTTATTCTTATTCGTCCGTCCTCCTCGACAATCCCGTACAATCTTACAACACGTAATTAAATTCGTATTAGTTCATTTAAAGAACGATCACAGCGTATATAGCAAGATATAAACTTTTCGAATTAACTGTCACATATTTCTCGGTGAAATTAGAGGGATAAGTTACGCAATCTTCGAATTTATCTATCCAGACCATCTTTACCGCAAGAAATCTTCGCTCGTCCCGATAAGACGCCAAGATATGTTACGTATATATCCTCGTCTGCATGCAAGTTTCAATGAAGTCTTCGTATCGGGGATGAACTTTTTAATCCTCAAGAGAAGCCATGAAAATGTTCCGATTTTTAAGACCAGAGAACATAATAGAGAGAGCGGCGAGTGAAATTTAATTCAAGATCGTTTCCTCGTAGGAGAGAGAGAGGAGATACGGATCCTTGGAATTTTCGTGGATCGAAAGTGTCGGTGAACGATGTTAAGTTTCAAGGTTTCGGTCAAACTGACCGCCATTCCTATACAAGCTTGTGTACTTTTATTTTCCAGAGGATGGTCCTATGTATAGCTCGGGCTCATCTGCATATCGTCCCAGAGGAGGAACTGCGTGAAATTGAGGGCAATCGAGCCGAGGGGGATCCTGGCCGGTGTGCAGGTCGCGCACATTGTTGGATTAAATCTTCCATATGAGGTTCTTCGTTAAATACTCCGCCGCAGGAACATTCTCTGTGCAAAATTCGTATGAGAAATTGTTCGAAGAAAAAGAGAAAAACAGAACTTTGCAACACCGTATAATAGAGTTAGCCGTTCCGTGTTAAAACGGATAGTTTGCAGATCGGTAAAGAAAAACTTACAAGCTTGTAGGAAAATTCGGTATTTTCTCCAGGAGGAAAATAGGGGAAGTCGAACCAACAGGCGGAGTAATTTCAGAATCGATGACGATTTGAATAAAATATACGAGGGGGAACGCGAAACGCGTCTGATTCCAAGTTAATTGCGTGGAAGGCCGCATTCTGAACGTGCAACCTCGAAATTGCACGGTTGTCCGCCGTCGAATAATTCCATCGGGACCATCCGCAGGATTTCCTTCCTCTGTCGAACTTCAACGTAGAAAAAACAATGAAATCTCTGACACCGGGCTGAGGATATACAGAGTGAAATGGAGGGATTCCGGAGGTGGGAAATTAAAGGATTATGGGAATTGGATCTTACTTGGTAACCGTCGTACGTCCAGGAGGCCCATTTCAGGACGCAGCGTTGCTCGTCGAAAGGGAAGAATTCGACGTCGATGTCGCAGCTGCTGCGAAATATCCCGTGGCTAAGCCAGACAACTTCTCCTGTGTGACTGACGATCACGTTCGTATTGATGACTGCAGAGCTGTACTGTGGATCTGCGCTATAAAAAAAAAAAATGCCGAAAATATAGGCTGATATCCTGGACGGACGGAAGAAGCGGAGCTGTGCTGCAGCCAATCAATACCAAAACTTCTGTTTTATAACGTAACATGCTGCTATTACTTCGCTGTTTCTCTAAATGCTCGCCCATTTTGCTGGTGGATCGTTTATGTTAAATAATGTATTCTGGTTATTTCCTATTATTCTTTGCAATTTTCTTCTTTTTCGAGAGGTTGCTTTCGACTGCGAAAGGGTTAAGAATATAATATTCCAGTGGATCGTTTATTATATATTAGGCAGGCAATATCTTTTACTAATTTTGCATAATTCTTAATAATTCTTTTTTCTTTTTCGAAAGGTCTCTTTCAACTGCGAAAGGGTTAAGAACAGAATGATCTAAATAGCGGATTATTTATTAAATATTAAGTATCTCTTAGTTATTTCATATAATTCTTAATTTCTTCCTTCTTTTTTTTCAATAGGCCTCTTTCGACTGCGTAAGGGTAAAGAATAGAATGATCTAATGGATCATTTATCACATATGAAATAGGTAATATCTTTTAGTTATTTCAAATAATTCTTAATAATTTCTTTCTTTCTTTTCCAAGATGTCTCTTTGGACTGTGAAAAGGATTAAGAATAGAACGATCCAGTGGATCACTTATTACATATTAAATAGTTATTTCATATAATTCTTTAGAATTTTCTTCTCTTCTTCAAAATGTCCCTTTCGACAGTGAAAAAGGGCTGCAGAATAGAACGAAGAATTTAAGAAAATATTTCCCAATAACAAGCGGTGTGTCGTACTTGTTGTACAGAATAGTATCTGGCCTCCAGACACGATTATAAGGAACGCGGATCACTCGAATTCCAGCAAACTCCGAGGCATTCCACTTGAGATGATGGTCGGTCCAGACCTGCGTTACCCAGCAGTTCGTCGTTAGTATCTGGTTCTTCTCGTCCTACGATAAAAATCGTCGATTCATTAGCATATGCAAAAAAGACGCCAAAGAAACATGTTCGAATGAAAAATGATCCTCGTTAAATGCACGTGAGATGAATGTTTCAAAAGGCACCCCTGGGAGATACCTCGCGTTCACCAGCCAATTTGTCTTAACTATTTCCTCCCGCGGCAGATTTTCACCCTCCGCTTTTCTATACCTATGCATCACAGTTATCGAACTGTCAACGAATCGACGAATCCGAGCCCGAGCGTCTACGAAACGCGAAAGGAAACGCGTTACCGGTAATGAATATATATCAATCGATATTTCCCGCGGGCTAAAACGCGGCTATAGGTGTATCGATACATCTGCCGAAGTGGAAGTTAATGCGGCTCGACCTGGATTTCATCCTTTCTCCCCCGAAACGTGTCGAAGAAACAAAACTACACACCTTGTGCAAACCAGCGAGCCATTCTTCCACGATTGATACCACGTTTCTCAACCCTCATACGCCCCGGGCGTCAATTCGACACATTTTTTCGGTAAAAAATTGTATTATTCGGCTATTTGTAGAGAAAATTTTTTGTTTGTTTTCTATATTCAAGCTTTTCTTATTGAATCTCTTAAAAGTAATTTAGAATTTTCAGAAGCCTCAAAATTTTCAAATCTCTGAGAAGAGATTCAGAATTTTCAAAAGATTCAAAATCTTCAAATCTCTTAAAAGTAATTTAGAATTTCAGAAGTCTCAAAATTTTCAAATCTCTGAGAGGAGATTCAGAATTTTGAGAAGACTCAAAATCGTCAAATCTCTTAAAAGTAATTCAGAATCTTCAGAGGACTCAAAATTTTCAAATCTCTGAGATGACATTCAGAATCTTCAGAAGACTCAAAATCTTCAAATCTCTTAAAAGTAATTTAGAATTTTCAGAAGCCTCAAAATTTTCAAATCTCTGAGAAGAGATTCAGAATTTTCAAAAGATTCAAAATCTTCAAATCTCTTAAAAGTAATTTAGAATTTCAGAAGTCTCAAAATTTTCAAATCTCTGAGAGGAGATTCAGAATTTTGAGAAGACTCAAAATCGTCAAATCTCTTAAAAGTAATTCAGAATCTTCAGAGGACTCAAAATTTTCAAATCTCTGAGATGACATTCAGAATCTTCAGAAGACTCAAAATCTTCAAATCTCTTAAAAGTAATTTAGAATTTTCAGAAGCCTCAAAATTTTCAAATCTCTGAGAAGCGATTTAGATTCTATATTTAATAAAAGAATTTACGAAATTAATTATTCATCTTTTCGTTTAATTGATTTTTTACCATTGCGTCGAGTTAACAGCGGGGGACCTATTAAGATGCGAAACTGAGAGACGGATGAGGGTTAAGAGAGATTATCGTGGTTCTCGCACCGATACATACACCTGTTTCCAGGTCGTCAAAGAGCGAACGTACTTCCTTTCTGAGATTCGACACACGTTCAAGAGAGAGTACACGTCCGTCTTTCTCCGTACGAAAAATTGAAGAAATTCAACCTCGTCTTCGAGATACGTACGTCGTGAAAAGGTTCGACACACACACACACACACACACAGGTGTAACGTTGTTCGAAAAATCACTTTGAAAATCGAGTTGCGGAAATTTGCCAAGAACCCATCAACGAGGGGTAAAGTGACTTTACTCGAGGTTTTTTTCGTTTCTACTAGCTCGATACTTACAACATCGATTATATGATGAAGAGAAAGGCCAAAGACGACCGCCAACGGCTGGGAGGAATTTTTCGCTGGCCGTACACCCGCGTCGTAGCCATCGAGAAGATACTTGGTCAGTCTGTACTCGTGTTCATCGCCGAAACCTGTGAAAAAACAAAGTATGCACGGTATTTGTCCGATATTCGCATAGCAATGAAATTTCCCCAACGTCGTAATGGATATCTTTTTTCCTTTTATCGGTAAATTCCCTCCGATCTCGATGTTCCATCTCCTCCACTCGAAATACGATATTTTAGGAATAAGTTCTTTTCGACGAGTTTCAGTTGATCGCACCTGGCGAAGGGAATTCTGTGCTACGAATTGCTTGATCCAGGAGAAACAGCGACTGCAGATCGCAATCAATTCGAACGAAGCCATCGAAAGAAGAAGGACATTACGCCTACTTCCAAGGTAAAAGAGGTGATTTTCTAACTGGACTGGGAAGTTTTATCGTATGTGGATTACTCCTCTGACATGGCATCTTCGGATAATCACCTCCTCCGGTCGCTACAACGTCGCTTAGCGCAGCAGTCTCGAACTCAAATTGCACGCGGTGTTGTATTCCGCGGCTCGCGATTCCTTGCGTTGGTTTATTATATTCAATAGGTACGCGGTAGGAGAGCCTGACGGAAACTGGGGCGAAATAAGGGAGCTATTCTGCGCGTAGTACTATTCGACTTTATTAGACAGTTCGGTGACGTTCGGTGCGTGAAGACGATTACTCCTCTGACATGGCATCTTCGGATAATCACCTCCTCCGGTCGCTACAACGTCACTTAGCGCAGCAGTCTCGAACTCAAATTGCACGCGGTGTTGTATTCCGCGGCTCGCGATTCCTTGCGTTGGTTTATTATGCTACACTACTGTTTCGACGGAAAAGGTTTCTAGATATAGGTTCGGTAAGTACGAGAGTAGGGGTTGGTCTCAGAGGTCAATGTAGGGTGAGGTCTAGGTTCAGCGATGAGTAAAGGATGATGTGGAGGTCTAGGTTTCGGGGTGACTAACGTTAGGATGATGCGGATTTGTTTACAGTTAAGGAAAGGAGGCAGGATGACTAAAAACTAATGAAAGATAGGAGAGAGGTATACGACAGCGGGATGAATGCACGATATGAAAGCAGCTGACAGGCTGGAATTTTTTTCGCCACATAAGCTCAGTCTATGACACTAAAACTTTAAGCACAGTATTTGCAACAAATGCATAATTGAAACGTATTCGCGGGCCGCCAGTTTGCGACCATTGACTTAGCGGACACACAATTTCAAAACTCTCGAAGACGTTCGAGAAATGCCTAGAAGAGTGTGTTGGGTTCCACGGAAGACGCACGATCGCGTTGCTTTAGGACCAGACTTTATTCTGTTAGATGTACAAGAATTGGGTTTTCCGGATTTTGGAGTTATACTTATGGCACATCCACCATGTGCCCTTACCGTGGACGAGTAAGGCTGTGACGACGAAGTCCTTCCTAATCAAAGGTTAAGACAGCCTCTAGAACAATTACTAAAGGCATAGTCATCCGACAAGTACGTAGCGCGAAAGCCACCGAGCTTTTGTCGCGACAGGATTGGTAACTTACCAAAAGAGTAGCGAGGAGTTATTTAAATAAAATTGTTACTTTGCCAAAAATTGGAAAGAACTTATCTTAATAGATAAAACTGAAGGTGAATCAGGTCTGTCTACTTTCTAATCACATGGCTAATTCCTTTCGTTACATCGAGAGTATCCATTACAGCGTTTCCGATCTCATACGCGGAAGCGTTCGTTCCATTCGAGTGTGGCTATTGTGCCTGGAAACGCGGCGAAGCCTTTTCGAGGACCACCTAATCTTCCTTTCGATCCATCTTTTCTCCAAGCTCGCCAGGCGTTACGTTCAAACCTCAATTAGATAAAAGATCCTCCGGAGGAGACAATGGCCAGTGGTCGGGAAGAATTCGTGTCAAAGGTTGCAGGATTAATTAACGAAAGTTTGCGATATCTTCGAGGTTTTCTAAGCATTTTCCTTCTCCCCTTCTGGATTCATATATCATCGGAGAAGGTCTGACGCGAACGTGGAAATGATAAACGCGTGTAAACCTCTAACGTTTCGCGAATCTCCCAATTCTCCGTCGAGAACGTTCTAATGTTCGTTCTTGTGGGAGTGATAGGGTGTGTTTGTAACGAATAGGTAGGACAGAATGTGTACCACGTTGCGTGAAAGAAGAGTTCTTCGGCTAGGGAGGTGGAGGTGTTAACCCTTTGCGGTCCTATGTCGAGTCAGACTTCAGATATTATACAGTGATAAATTTTTCACTAATTTTATAACTAATATTGCGCTGAAATATTGAGATAAAGGGAAACTACGTGGTACTGGCCGAGAGTGACCAAAAGAGTGCGGACTAACTGGACTATTTGGACCGCAAAGGGTTAAAGAAGGATGTTTGGAACGAGTAGGGGAGAACGGGGTAATTCCGGTTACGTTGCAAAATGAACGTTCAGGTATTGTTTCAAATAAAACGCTGCTATAGTCACAGAAATAGCAAAACAACCACAATGTTCGCTGTTAAGCACAAGTATATTTATACCGCGATAGCTCATGTGTCCGTCTAATTCGACGGTTGTGACCAGAGTGTCCTCTTCCGCGTCCTATGCCTCCTAGGCCAAACTGTCCTGAGAAAGAGCTTAACTTACGACACCCTCAAGCATCCGCGCGCTTTCTCTTCCGGTGACTCTGGGTGACAAAGACTGAATCGTCTAAATCTGACAGAAGTGACAGTACCATACGAAGTCGAATCACGCGTTTTTTATTTTAAGAACTTAAAGTTGCCGGAATTACCCCGCTTTCCCCTGTTCGAGAATAGCGTGTGAAAATGCTCGGTGGACGTAACTGAATGTTCCCGAAGAATATCTACCTAAAGTGAAAGAAATAGAGAGCTAGAGGAAGAAAGAACGCAAGGATGTGAGGATAAGTTTGGGTGAAAGAGGCGCACGAAGATCAGGAAGAGAGCAGTCGTCGAGTCAGCGAATAAACGTGCCGCGGAGTTGTGAGTTTAGACCATTATATCAGTTTCACACCGAGATATTTCGAATGTACAAACTTCGTTAATTAACCGAGATTTCGAAAAGTCAGTAAATCCTCCATTCTTCTAGAAGCGTAAGGTCGCATGGTTCGCGGAATTTTCGTCCCCAAACCCTCTTAATTCCGATCGTTAAAACGACGTCACACGTATAGCCATGTGGAGGCGTCACTCTGAATCGTTTAACGGGCCGACCTTACGACTATTTTCCCCGATGTCGCGAAAAAAAGTCTGTCTATTGGAAAAATCAACCGGGTCCGACCATCGGAACATTCGAAAGAATCCTATAATTTTCTTCTCCCTTTTTAACCGGCAGTTTCTCCTCTCTTCCCTTCTTTTTCCAACAGACATTAGGCGAAAGCTCGTTAAACAAGGTCTTATCAGGCGAAAATAGAAGGATCTAATTTTATCCACGGGCAAGTTTCAACGTGGAACCTATTTCGTCGAGCATCTTTGTACATTTTTCGCGAATATCGATAATTTCCGGGCGAACTCGAGCGTGTCGAAGCGGACGGATGGCGTTCGAGCACTCTCGAACGCGCTTTGAACACGCTCGCGCGACATTTAAAGACGACATTTACGTGGCCGGCGGGGAAAACTGAAAGGAACGCGAAAATCCGCTTTTTTCCTCTCCCTCCTCGCGGAAACCGGCAAGCTCTCTATTCACCGGGCGCAAATTCCCGCTTTTCGGAACAATCGGCGCGAAAAAGTTTTCTTGAAACGCGCAGAATTCGAACCAGGCCGCCTTTTCTCTCCTCCCCCCTAGTTTCCGCTCCGCGGTGTGCAAGCTCTCCCTTTTTCCTACTTTACTCCCCGACGAATTTCTATTTAATCTACTTTGAAAAATCCCGCAGAATTCGCCGCGGTGTAAACTCAAGCTCAAACGAACTATCGGGTAAACGTTTGTAAAGAGATTCCTCGAAAGCGCGTCGACGTGGGACCAAATTGAACGATATGTTTGAGAAATAGGAACAAATGTGAGTGAAAAAAGGTAGCGATGCGTTAAGAGAAAATTCGAAATAGAGTGGAAAGAGATAATTCCCGGTGCTGGCATTTAAACGTCGCGTGGAGGGACGTGCGTTTTAAAGAGGAGAAGAAACAGCAGCGGGAATGGAGATTTGCCGATAAATCTGGACACTCGACGATTCAGTTTGACGGCGGACGAGGCTGGAACGTCCGCGAATTATCGTGGATTTCAGGATACGAGTTTGGGAAAGGTGGAATCGACGGTTCTATACGAGATCGATGCCGGAAAAGCGTGCAACACGCTCTTCGTTCCCGCGAACCGATTCTTTCATTCCGAGGACGAGGACCC